GCTGTATTTATCATTCGGAATAAGTTCAAAACACGTGATAGTGCATGTATATGAAAATGTATTAAGTTTTCAGTTTACCTTTTTTATTATCAATTTGATTTGATAAAGATATTTATATGTTGTTACATTAAGTAATTTCTCAAGATATTGAGTTGTTAAGAATATTTTAGTGGCAAAAACAACAACAACAACAACAAAAAACAACAACAACAGCAAAAAATAAAGAGATTAAATTTAAACGTCTTTTTCAACAAAGTCGAGTGTTATTGCTGCATGTAGAAAAGATAAGCTAAAATTGTCATATTATCTCGACAGTCCTAGTATTTGCATGAACAATTGATGAATGTTACAGGTGGAGTTTAGAGGACTATCTGACATGATACATATCAAGAAACCTAACTGGGTAACTGAGGCTGGAAATATTCAGATAAAGTTAAACTCAAAACAAGTGGTGAGTTATTTTTATATATTTTATGCATCTTGGACTTGCTACTTAGATATCTGAAAGTAAGGTCAACGTCACTTGATAACAATAAAATTTCCAGTAACCCAATGATTTAACCCATTACTTCATATACACGCCTTTTAACGCCTTTTTCACCCCCCCTTTTTGTTGTCTCAAATGATGAAAAAATGCCTTATTTAGACCCTAAACACTTGTTTCTGTTTGAGAAATGTTGTTAAAAAAAGTGACCTCTTTTTCGGCGCGGCCCCCCAACCAAAAGATACATCAGGGGGTTGCCAGAAGGGGGATGTGCCCCCTTCTGTTTGGGGGGTTTGCAAGGGGGCGGAGTCCCCCTCATCGCCAAGAAAATTTTGGACTTGTGAGAGGCTGTAAATGACCCCAGATTGATCATAAGGTAACGTGTAACCAACGCTGAAAAGCATTTGACTCTATCTCAATCCATTGAGAAGTTGCAGCACTTTGAAATCAATTTTGATGGAAAAAATCAACGCAAAATAGTGATTTTTGGCAATTTTGAGATGTCCCCTCGTTGCCATGGTAACAGAAAATTTAAGCCTGAGCATGTTGTTGCAAGGGCAATGGTCCAGTCAACATTTGTGCCAAGTTTGATTAGTGTTGAAGCAGTTTTTATAGTATTATAGCAATTTGAACTTGTAAAGGGAGACTTTTCAATGAAAACAGCCATTTTTCACAAAATGCTCATGAAGTAATGGGTAAGCAAAATCTTTCATTCCTTCATCCTTAGAGTTATAGAACAATTCGGATGATCATATTAGACATGCGGCTTCTGTTAATATTTTTAAATCTCGTCTCAAAGAAATTTATAAACCACATACTGTTCCTAAATATTTTGTATACGGAGATCGAAGTTTATCTGTTTACCATGCACGTATTAGAAACGAATGTAGTAATCTTAATGCGGATCTTTGTAAAAATCATCTACGAGATAACTCACTTTTTAGCTAATGTACATCCAGTATTGAAGATGCCGAACATTACTTTTTTAAATGTCCCAAATATAACGAAATAAGAGTGCAGTTATTCCGCTCAACTCGCGGTTTCCATCCTTTGAGCGTAAAGACCCCTTTGTTTGGAAAAGAATCTCTTTCTGATGAGAATAACTTATTTATTTTTGATAAGGTACAATTATTTATGAAATTATCGTGTAGTTTTGAATCTTATTTTTTTTTATATTATCTGTACTACTTGCCACGTTCAATTGATATTCCTCCTTACTGAACTCTATCCCCCTTTTTCTTTTCTTTTTATGTAATGTTTTTCTTCTTTTTTCTCCTTGTGCATTTTTCCCTAATTGCTCTACTATCATACATTTTGGTTTGTAACTGTCTTATTATTATTAGATAATTCAATATATCAGGGAAGAACCGTTTGCTGATGTTGTAAGAACTCGTGGTTCAACCCTTTTGCTACTTTTGTATTTATACTATGATAATATTATGTTATAAATGTGTAAAAAAAGAGCAATAAAATATGTTTAAATCGAAGTAATGGGTTAAGTAATAGAAAGAGCACCGAAACACGAGGCTATCTTATTTGTACGAGGGGGCGTAGCCCCCGAGTATAAATCAGATTGCCGAGTGTTTTGGTGTTCTTTCTCTTTTGTATCATAGTCAAACATGACAGCACGTTCCCTGTTGTCATAATATGAAACCCCAGAAAAAAATTAACCAATGAACGAGCATTTGAATATGATAGTTCTGCCCCTTTCCCTTTCTCTGCCGTCACAATATGTAAACCCCCGCCAAAAATGAACCAATCCACGGGCATTATCTGGAATGCGGGTAACTGATACCCGCACTCCAGTTACCGCACTGTGCATGTATATGTATACGATTTATCTTTGACACTTTTTCAACAGCAAGGTCCCCAAACTATGATACAACTTATAATTGTATCATAGTTTGGAGACCTTTGTGTTGAAAATGTGTCAGGGTTAAATCGTATACATATACATGCACAGTGCGTTAACTGGAGTGCGGGTATTAGTTACCCGCACTCCAGAGCATGCCCATTGAATGGCTCATTTTTGCTGGGGTTTACATATTGTGACGGCAGAGAAAGGTAAAGCGACAGAAATATCATATTCAGATGTTCGTTCATTGGTTCATTTTTGCCGGGGTTTCATATTGTGACAACAGGGAACGTGTTTTATGTTTGACTATGATACAAAAGAGAAAGAACACCAAAACACTCGGTAATCTGATTAATACTCGGGAGCTACGCCCCCTCGTACAAATCAGATAGCCTCGCGTTTCGGTGCTCTTTCTATTACTAACTCAGCTAGGTAACTGAGCTGGGTAATTGAGGTTGGAAATATTCAGATAAAGTTAAACTCAAAACAAGTTGTAAGTTGTTTTTATGTTATACACCGTTAGATGTAAAACGTACCTAATTCTTGTTTCTTTTTAAACACATACGTACATATAGATGTTCATAAAAGATTTTACTACGCATTTTTTTTTTAAAATGACAATATGCTCATATTTGGTTATCAAAGTTAGGCTGAAATGGTTATTTATTTCAAAAGACAGACTCTTATAATAGTGATGGACCGAAATTTAATTTAAAAAATGGATTAGGTAAAATTGCCGAAAATATAAAAACAAACTTTTTATCAATTGAACATTACAGACACATTCTGAATTGTGCGTTTTAAATTGTTAGTTATGCCTTATCACGCGCATAGATAATTGATTTACAATTAATTAGCAACATCTTTAGACAAATATTATTTTGTATCTAAGACTGTGGGACACAATGCATCGTTCTTGATCCAGAAAGCAAGGGAGCTCACACACGAACATTTATTCTACGCCGTAAGTAATTTTATTGTTTCATATTGTGTCTACACATTTTTTAATCGATGAACACAGAAGTAGCTTGAAGTGTATTCTGACTTTTTGTGGATCTATTTATTATACGTTATAATGCTATGTTTTGATCCCTTCGATTAACCGTGTCCTAAAATTTATCGTACTTATAACAATCGTATGAAAAATTTATTTATTTGAATGAAATAAGACACGATCAGTGGAATTATTATCATTTTATGATCAATAACTAGACTCAAAACAATATTACTTTGATGTTAGTTTGATGTCAAGTCTAAGTATGGTAAATAGATGTTCACGTTGGAGTTTCTGTCACATCAAAGTATTAAAGAGATGTTGTGTTAAGAAAAAATGAAAAATACTTCAACAAAATTCGTTCTTCGACTGGTTTTCAAGGCCTGTATTTTCTGCATGACAACGTTCCTGCACACTAAGGAGCTACTGTATTTTGTTTTTGTCCTTAAACATCCATCGTATCCCCCAGACTTGACACCCTGTGACTTTTTCGTCCTTCCTTGACTGAAGAATATTGGTGGACTTGGATTGGCCATGTTTTCAGTTATTAAAAGAAATAACGGCGGCACAGTAGGACTATGTTGAAGCATTTTAAATTTGGATTTAACGTCTAAAACTTAGGATGTCTTTATATTTTAGTAGGAAGAGGTGAAATGAAAAATGTAATGTTTATGCTATTTTGTATAATTTATTGCCCGTATTGCATTACATATTGACTCTGCCTCCTGTCCTACACGTACGATTTAAGTGAGAACTGTTGCGAGATTAAAATAATCGTTGCAGTTAAATATTCTTGTAATTTTTCAAGTACATATTTCCCACCACTTGGCCATATTTTGTTTTGTTTGGTACTAATATTTTTTGTTTGGTACTAGTATTTTTTAGTTTGGTTTTACGTCAAACCATTGTTTGTTTGGTGGTTTTTGGTTGGGTTTTGCGTCGAACCAACAGCGTATAGGTCATAAAGTGACTTTTCAGGTGGTGGAAGACCTCCGGTGTACGATCGGGTACCGGACCCTATATCCTGCATATCAAGCATTGCATTCCCTATGTTGAGTTGTATAGACCACAATGTTTTGGTAGATCTTTCTGACACTGAAATTTACCATAACTCCTACTGGATACTCGTTAGTTATTGGACATGTTATTTGATACGTAATTCATATACTTTTAGGTGGTTGCAAATGACCGCATTGTCCACTCAGGTGTTGTATATGATGATGGGTCTAGTTCAGTACCACTGTCCTTTGTAGCGACCGAGAAGATGAAACCGTACGGAAAACTCATTGTGTATTATTTTACAAATGACGAATGGAACGCTGATGCCACGTATTTTCAAGTTCAAGACAGTTCCAAAAAGTTCAGGAACAAGGTGTAGTATATCGGATATATACCGCCGTCGATGATTATATCTTATTTAATTTTCTCTATTTATAACGACAATTTTCACTGTTCAGTTGCGACCTTTATGTATTATAATATATATAAATAGATACATTTATGATCTTTATAGTTATGCATGTTTGGAACTTGGAATTACATAAGACAAACGTTACGCTGATATTTTTGATATGTATTGTATGATCAGTTATAGTTCTATTGATACAATTTCTATTTAAGGTAAACGAAAACAACTGCGCTGTATTTTAAAGTTATTTCAAAGAATTGGCAACCTATTTTATGGCCATTTTTATCAATTGTTTGCCATTATTATAAATGTGTGTTGCACTATAAATTATAAAGATCTACTCCTGAAAGAACTGTCTCCAAATGCAGCTTAAAGTTTCATCTTCAGCAATAATGATAAGCAGGCCTGCATACATCTAGTTTGAAGGAAATGGTGAGAGTGGTGACAGGTTTAGGGTTTAGCTCGATAAACTTAAACATTGAAAATGAATAGTTAAAATTGCAACTCTATTTTAAAAAACTCAAGAGTAAAGTAATAGTGTGATTTTCCACTTTCAGATAGCTCTGTCATTCAACAAAGCGACCGCAGAGCCCGGAGACTCTGTGAGTTTATCCGTTTCTACAAATCCCATGTCGTTAGTTAATCTTTTGGCTGTAGACCAAAGCGTAATGTATCTGGCTAAAGGAAATGATATAACAGGAAATGACGTAAGAGTATATTGTATTATCTCTTTGGCCCTGATAGCTAATTGATTTGTTACAGATCGATTCACAATAGATTTGCTTATTTGACATGTAGATATATCTATAGCATAATTCTAGGTTAATGCGTACTAAGACAAAATGTTTTGTAAAAATAAATTGCTTTACATTATAAATATTATAACCGGCTTTTGATACTTACCCTTTCTGTCAAGGGTTAACTCAGCTAAAATGAAAACGGTGACTCGATAAATTATATATAGATATATCTATATCATTTTATAAGACTACTTTAATCTTTTTGGTAAAAAAAATGCTTTATGGTGTATGCATGATATTTAGTACTTTGATGATAAGCTAGTCATAGATACCTTTTAAAAATGGTTCCGTTGATGGAGGCTCGTTTATAATGCCGTTGTTATGTACAGATCACCATCGTTTTCGATGGGGCATTTAGATGTTGGTGAATGTATCATATTTTGCACTATGTATCATTTGTGGATAGCGCCCCTTTCCAAGAAAGAGCAAAATCCTTAAATGTTATCAACATATTATCTAGGAGCACCAAATCTCGTTAATCACATTATTATTATTATATAGAAATTAATATATTTTGTCGTTTTGTATTAGAGTTTAATAGTTTATTGTCTCATTCCAAGCATGTCATATATACAATACATCACAATGTTCAATCATATTAAAAAACATGTTGGACCAATCTCGATAGATTTATAAGAGACATTTAAAAACATGATGATACTGGTAAAATATATTCTATAGCTAAAAACCAATTTACTTTATAACCAAGTTACATGTATATATAACAGACATTTTTGTTTATTCCTTCATGAAAAAAACAATATACTTCAAAAAATAATGCCCAGAATATTTGTGACAATACTACTGCAATTTACTTGTTATGTGAGTGAGGCCAAATATGTTCATACAAAAGTGTAAGTTTAGTGCAGCATACATGTACCCAGCATTGCTGTATAATTCTCATTATTCAGTAAAAGAGTAATAATGTTCCAAATGAATGCATATATCATGGAGTATAAGGTTGTAACCCAAAAAAACACTTGACTGTGAAAGGTGCGTGACCTAAAATATTTGAATAAGTACATGATTATGCTAAATGTGTAATCCAATAAGTACATGATTAAACATGGTGTGTGAGTCCCAAGGTACAAAATTGAGCATGATGTGGCAATAAGTACATGATTGAACATGGTATGTGTCCCAATAGGTACCAGATTGTACATGATGCATAACCAAATAAGTACACGGTAGAACATGGTGCGTGAAAAGTCATTATTCTGCACTACCTTAAATGACAGTATAATGAATAATATTAACAATAATTGGTTGGTTGGATATATTTGAATGTATAGGGTGATCGCCTTCCAGCATGATACATTTGTGTGCCAGTGTAGATAACATTAGTAGGGTACAAACAAACTGCACTAAACTCAGCCCAAAAATCAACCATTTAAATCAAGCCTATACACAATATGTCTTAATATTTAATGTCGATACACTGTGGCAATGTACTGCTATATCATTGCCACAGTTAAATCTTCCTTCACAACCAAAATAAAACAAAAATATCTGTTTTACATCTTCAATTATAAAATATAAAACTAATTGTTGTAAAAAATTAGGTACTATGTACACTACTATTTTTACATTTCTACTACTTTAATAAAAGGATTAAAACATCCTATTTACACATAAACAAATTCCTTCTTTGTAGTATCTGGAAGCAGGTTTTGGCACTAACTCTTATTACATTAGTATTACTAAATATAACTTTTAATTTCTCATCACTTTTCAGGTCGATAAAATTGTTAACAGCAACTGCAGCTTGTTCAAAAAGTACATTTCTTAAATCATTGTATAACTGACATTCTAATATTACATGAGTTTCATCCTCTACCACATGACAAAATGGACATAGACGTCTATCTACCTGGAGATTTTCAAATCTTCCGGTTTCTATACGAATTGGTGCTACACCACATCTAAATTTGCTAAAAGCTGATCTGTGGCTAACAGGCAAAATCATTGTACAAAAAGGTTTAACACAATATTTTTCTTTAAATATACAATATGTCCGTAATTTATTCCGGCCTCTACCTGATGAGCCCGTGGGTGCATTAATTTTATCAAACCACTCTGTTTTAAACTTAGCAAACATACGTTCTTCTACAGCTTTAACAATATTATTCTTGGATATAGGTATGGATATATCATTATATATTGAAAGGTCTAACTCATTCAACTGTTTACGAACCCAAAAATACCAGTTTTTACATTTGATTGACTTACAGGAGGCCCAGAGCGCAATTCGCTTATTTATTCTTGTAGTATTGGTACATGAGAGACGGGCCCAAAAATTGACATTATTATTTACATTATTCTGCCTCTCCAAAGCGAGATGAAATGTGAAACCACTCTTTGTTTAATGTTGTTCCCTGAAGCTCTTTGGTTTGGTAATTTTATTTGGCACAGTGAATCAGCTTAAAGTGTATGAGCTACTTACCCATTTACCAAAGAGTTATTTCCCGTGAATACACATGCCATCTCGACTTCTTGTCACGTATTGCCATGTTTCTATTTTTTGTATGTATATATATTGATGCTTTGTCAATGGCTCTTTTAAGGGCTTTAATGCAAATAAAAGTTCTTCTTCTTTTTCTATGTTATAGCATGTGTACAAAAATGAAATATGTTGTTTATAATAAACTTGTATCATTATATTGTATTATTATATTATTTCATACTATATCATTATATTGTATCATTGTATACTATACAAATACAAAATAGTTCATACTATATCATTATATTGTATCATACAAAATATGAAATTAATAATTCAAAACCTCAAAGCGAATTCTACGACAAATTTGCTTTAACGTTACGCTCTATCCCCTTGTGGCTGAGGGGTTGCCTTTCATGGTTCAGGCATCAGAATTGCAGAAATTGTTTAAAAACCCTGCTTGATCGTAAGAGGCGACTAAATGCATTCAGAGTCTACCAGTTTTTCAGCCTCAGCAGGTGACGTGGTATTCATCCCTGACGTTGCTTTAAAATAGAGAGAGATAAATAATCCCTAAAAATGGTACAAAACGACAACATTGAAAATGTTGCAGGCTCGGTTTGATTGAGCCCTGTTCATGGATTGTATTTAAATGTGTAGGTTACCATCCACGCCCCCTCCCAACACCGGGTTAAGCAGTATTCAACATTTAACATGAACTGGTAAAATTTGGAATTTTGAAACATCCGCAGATGTATTCATATGGCGGTTATCAATGGAACCTTCAATGTGACACGTTAGTGTCATTCCATGAAAAGCGGCATATGGTCCCCAAATAAAAATATAAGTTTGTTACACCTAAGATTAGCAAAATCATCCTCCGTGTTTCGGCGCCATATGCCTTAAAGTGTGTTGGTGCGCTGTAAAACAGAAGCAAACACAGTTGGAGTTATTGTGCTATTAAACTATTTCAATGTGAACAGACTAAAAATCCCCTTTCTGGAAAAGGATCTCCTTTCATGAAGTGTAAACAAACTGGAAGTTGAGATTCGTCCAATAGTATTTCCGACTACCACAAACGACAGTGCATTTCATGTTTTATAGCATAAAATCGGCTATTTTTCCCTCTTTTGCCCATGTTATAACGGGACCAAAACCATGTGTTAACATAGTCACGCGCTCTTGTTATAGCCCGGTTTCACCTATGCGCAATACATACAGGGCCCAGTAAACAAACAAACAAAAAATGACGATTTGGCCTGTTTGCCGAAGAGTCATGCGTTCTTGTTATATTGAAATTTATTGATTCGAGGGCCTCAGTCGCATATTCCAGTAACTATGCCGGAAAAAACGGCGTATAGACATCGGTGCTAATCTTGGTTGTCGCCCTTTCTAAGAAAACGGACAGTTGTCAATGTAAACAAATACAGTAGAATCTACCTGTCATTCCAGTTTAACACTCCGATTAACTTACAAAACTAGATAACACAAAATTAATATGAGAAAATGTTTTTTATTTATGTTAATGTTGATAAATGCTCTTTATATTTCTTTGAGAGAATAATGCTTAGTGCCTGATTTTTTATAAACTTGTTTGCTTGAGAAAAAAAACCGATTCTGATGTCACTGATCTTTTTTCTATCGTCAATCTGAAATCACTCTAAGAATTTCTGAGGGTCATGTTTTGTCTTGGGTAGAGGGTAGAGTAATGTAACGTTTTTTTTCTTGAGATAATAAATCTCCAAAGGCCAAGCTTTGTTAAATCAATTAAAATTCAAAATTTCGTTCGGTTCCGAGAATTTTCCAAGTTGTTGGCCCCGGAAAAAATGAAACGCATACGTAAAACATAGAATTGGATAAATACCGTCCAAGCACAAGAATTTAATGTAATTGTGTTTTGTATAAACTATACATCACAAATCTGTTTGAAAATTTTATGCTATAATAGCGTCAACGCACGTTTATTTCGTGTTATAAAGTCTGCAGAGTCCCTCAAAACTGTTGGAGCCCTCGCCCTACCGGGCTCGGGCACCAACCGTTCTTCGGGACTCTGCAGACGTTATAACACGGAAAAACGTGCGTTAACCCTATATTATCATACACTGCCCGATCAAAGTACATCCGACCAAACATTTTAGAATCATCATTTTATCATACACTGCCCGATCAAAGTACATCCGACCAAACATTTTAGAATCATCAAACCTTTTTTAGTGTAGAGCTCGACCCTTTCAGTGCAGTATATGTGTATTTTCAGTCGGTAATTGAGAGGTGAAAAATGCAACAATTTGTAGCTTTTGTCTACGACCTTTCAACAGAAGAGAAAAACAAAACCAACAAAACAATAACAACACGAACAGCAGCAGCAGATTTTTTAATGACACTATATATTCATATTCTAACCACCTATAGCGTTGAGAGTTTTAAACACCAACATCTACTTCGTGTGAAGTTAAAACTTGTTTATTTTATATTTACAAAGAGACTGTGTAGCAATTATAAACATTTTCAAATTTGAAATTTGAGCATAGTATATCTTTAAAAATGTTTAATTAATGTGAATAATCAATCAATAAATTAGTAAATTATATTAATGTAATTTAATGTGAAATAAATGCTTTGTAATTCAGATAATCTCCTCGCTAATGGTCAAAGGTCAAAATTCTCAAGACTCCATTGACTTGCACGCTCCAAAAGATGTCTTGAAGGTATGAAGTATCTAATTTACTAACAGTTTTGTAGTTATTTTATAACATGATTTCCACTAAAAAGTAAATATTTTGGAATTTCACAGTGAAATTATATAAAAAAAACCTTTAAATGTAGCTCTAGCCGAACTTTATTTGTATGAGAATGAAAAAGAATACATTTGGGGATGTCCGGTAAATCTGCGTAAATGCGGACATCGGGTTAACCCAGACAGTTTGAGCTTACCCTATAGAACTGTTTGAATTTGTCTCGATCAACGTTTCACATCTATGTCTCTTTTATCAATTAATTCATTTTGATATCTGTTCAAATACAAACTGTTCATATATTTTGCAGTTGATAAGGGTTTAATAGTTCATTTGAAACATTTCTGTGTCCGAGCTATTCCTGCGTGATCATCTCCTTCCTTGTCCGGTTTATGTCTACTGAGTGTCCTATCAAAACATTACGATATTTAACCAAATATGAACAGATTTCTAAGAAACATCTCTTTAACTAATAATTTTAGATTCCTTGTATAAGTCAAATTCCTCTTTCCGACTTTTTTGTGAAAGTCCAATTGTAAAGAATCCGGATTTACCCCACAAAAGCTATCAACAAGGAAAACATTTTTGTTTGTTTGTTCATATTCTAAGTAGTTTCAAGTATTTTTCGGTAATTGTCACGCACTCTTCTTATTGACATCATTTCACTGTTCATGTTGAAAAATACTATTGAAAACTTTTCTCAAATTTATCATGATTGTACGTTTTATCATGATTGTACATTTATTTATATCCATTAATTTAAGATTACTTTCATTTGTCTATATTCAAACGTGTACATATAGAGCTGTGGTTTGGAACTGAATATCTGGCATAATGGATTGATCTCAGAAATGTCTGATAGAAGATTTTCTATGATATATAGAAAATATTAATCACTATCCGTGAAACGAAAGACCTATAAGGGTTTTTAATGTGGGGAAAAAGAAAGGGAAAATTAGTTTTTTAAAATTTAAAAAAGGGCCCCCAAAACCCCAAAGGGTTTCCCCCCAAAATGGGTTTTTTTCAAAAAAAACTTCCAAATTTAAATGGGGTTCCAAAAATAAATTTTCCAGTTTTTTTAGCCCTAAACCAAAAAAGGGTTTACACTTTTCCCTTACTCATATTTTCCCTCCCTTTTTTTGCGTTTGGTTTTAATTTTTCTTTTAAAGCCTTTCATGCCTCCAGATGACCCAAAAAATTGTTAAAAGAAAAATTAAATTATTGACCCTAAAAGTATTAAAAAAGTAAAAAAAATTTCAAGTTTTCAAGTTGGCGGGTTACAGGGATTTTTCTAAAATACTGCTTTTTACAAATGCAGTAAGGGGCTTTTTTTTTGAAATTTTTTTTTTAATTTCCCTTTTTGTTAGTTCTTTTACGTGGATTTTAAGTACTCTTTATAATGTGTAAATTACTTTATATGTTAACTTTAAAATATTTTATTTTTTAGAAAAGTAAAAAAAAAGATAAACATTAAAGATTTCCTGACAATAGTCATGAATCTGGAGGCATGCTGCTTTAAATTCGAAATTATTTGCATATGCATTAACATTGGTAAAAGAACACACAATATTGTCTTTGTCAAACATTATTATTTCAGACTAAAGGTATGCATGTTTTAACAGACGTCAAAAAATTTAATTGGGCCAATCCAATGTACAGACGTCAACTGAACTGTGACTGTGAAAGGTATGTATTTATCTAATTATGTATTTCTAATAAATGAACGTTCTTCTAAACTAATATACTTCTGAACTAATGCTGCTTGACTAACACTATTCTGAACAAATGTACTTATTACCTTTGTGCTCTTAATGATTCTTAACCGACGTCACTTTTTAGATAACACACGTCGTGACAAATGTATTCGTTACCTACGTCTCTTTTTAAAATATACACGTAATGACAATTGCACTTTTAACCGCGGCGTCCCTCCTCTTAGAAAATACACCTTATGACAAATGTATTCCTTATCTACGTCACTTCCAGACAGATTGTAAAAGTTCATGACGTCTTTAACACTCTGATAGTAGATACGTCGCTTTTTATGTAACATATCACACACGTGTTGACAAATGTACTCCTTATCTACGTCACTTTCAGTTAGATTGTAAAAGTTCATGACGTCTTTAACCCTCTGATAGTAAAATATTCCTTGCATCTTTTGCCTTTAGACAGTAAATGTTTCATTTCGGCTTTCATCACGAGGAAGTTAATAAGTTACTACGACTTTCACCGTCTGATATTAAAAACTTCATGACGTCTTATTACCGTCGGGTAGTGAATAATTCATGACGTCATTCAGTCAGGTAGTAAATACTTCACGAATTTTCTAAAACTTTAAAGGGTAGTAAATATTTTCATAAACAGTTTCACTTTTAATTTTGTTCAAATTTTTTATCCCGTTTTTTCAATCAGGAAATGGAATATTTTTTGAGGGGCTCTATGGGGGTTTAGAAAAATAAGTTATCACGTGTTAAATCTTAAGGAAGTAAATGATGCATTAGTAAAATATTTCATGACGTATTGTAAATATTTTATCACGTATTACACCAAAGGGTTGTACATATCTTATGAAAGTTTACACTGTTAGGCATAAAGTCAGATAGTTTCATCTTTAGGAAGTAAATGATGCATTACATATTTTACTGTCAGCTATTAAAATATTTCATGACGTATTGTAAATATTTTATCACGTATTACACCAAAGGGTTGTAAATATCTTATGAAATTTTACACTGTTAGGCATAAAGTCAGATAGTATATACATTGTAGTTTGTAATGTTTTTACCAGCAGATAGTTAGTGATTCATAACATAAGTCAACATTAGGTTGTAAATGAATTATAACATTTTTTTGCCTCCTCGTAGTCAATACTTCTTGACGTCTTTCACTGTAATTTTAATGAAAATTTTTTCCCACGTTTTCATCATTTTTACTTATAAAATTTTCAAAACACGGAAGATAACGTAAAATTTTATCTTTAGTTGCCCATCGTACAAAAAACCCTATCACAGTGTCGGGAAAGTGGGGGGATTTAGCAACCCTTTTTTTTGTAGAACCCCTCAAGGGTATTTTTTTGCAGGTATGTATAAAACAAGTATTAAAAATCTTTAAAAGGGCCCAAAATTATGCCTCAAAAAACAAATTTTTTTTTCCCTTCCCTTTAAAAAAGGGGGTAAAAGATGAATATTAAATAATGGTTTATAATAATGTTAGATGCTTATTACATGAAATATTTTAGCGATAGATGTGAAATCATTTGTCATATAAATAGCAAAATGTAAACAAACTAGTAGTATTTTGACTTTCATACAAAATACGAATTCACTTTTATGTACTTGTTGCCAAAAAATCAACAGATGAAAAAGACGGTTACGGTAATTGGACAATAAGTCACCTTTTGAATACTATAAAAGTACACCAAAATTAAAAGTGTTTGAGAAATAAAGATTTAAGCATTTTTGAGGCATAATGGGCCTTTAAATACAGAATTGCCGCCTAAACGAACTGCATACATGTACTTAGCAATATTAATTGTAACTGAAATTTCTATCTAGCCATAAATGATTTTATAACAGGAAGAAGCAAACGTTTATGAATGTCTCCGTTACGTTCTATAGATCTCACCTTCAAGATGTTTTGTCTGAGTGTTTTAAGGTATCCCCCATAATGAATTACTACCGCTTTTATGTGTATTCAAATAGACTAAAATTACTATCAACTGCGATGAAATTGAGGGTCGTGGGTCAATATTTCGTCTGCCTTTTGTTTTCTTATTTTTATATTTAGAAAGATATAGATAGATAGTTTAATTTTCAATCATATAAGGCTGATAAGCCCACGATGACATATAAATAGCATAATACAAGACAACAAAAAGTGCACATACATCAATGAATAATGGGCGTTAAGTAAACGCGGGGGGCTAGGGCTAGCCAGGTCTAGCGGGCAACCGTGGTCAACCTGAGCGGGCTAGCCAGTCTAGCGGACTAACATGTGGGAATTTGGGCGGGGGCCTAGCAGTCTTAGCGGGCTAAAAACAAGTTAACCCTTTGCCGGGCTAGGCAACAAAATCCTTGAAGAGAGCGGGGAAAAATAAAAACACCACACAGAGTGTGAACTGGGACACCCGGGCTAGGACTAACAAATCGATCTATAATCATACCACAAGAGCGGTCACTAGACCACCTTTGGGTGAATAGGCGCACAAGGGTGGCGGGCCAAAGCGGGATTAAATTACTCTTTTAAAACTCTGTTAACTGAATCCTAGGAAAACTAATGAGCAAAAAACCCGTTGTAAATGAATCAACATTTTGAACTCCTTTTACTCAAGTTTGAAGGGGCAATGGGCCTAACCTCCTCAGCTGTTATTTTGCGGGCCCTAGCTAAGTGTGAATGAATAAGCGGAATCACAATAAATTTGGCGGGGCCTCCAAGCGTTATACCAAATTTTAATAAATTTTAATTGACAAATTGTAAGGCAATGAAAAAACGTGGATGATTACATTTTCCTAGCGGTGTGAAGTTAGGGGGCTAAAAGTGAAAGCGGGGCTAAAAATGTTGAAATGGGCGGGCTGGGCGGGTCATAAGCGGGCAAAACTTTAATTACTTTTAATTTAAATCCAACATTTAGAATGGCGCATCAATGAATTACATTCATAAAACTCATCGTTGGTGAAGTGGGCGGGCTGGACGGATCATGTAGCAGGCTAGCAGTCTTGGTGTGAACTGTTGCGGGAATGGCGGGCCATGGTCGGGGCCCTAAACTTCTAAAACTTAACTGATTCAACAATTTGAAAAACGGTTATTGATACAATTAACCTATGGCAGTGTGAAGGGCTGGGCGGGCTAACAGTGTAACGAGGGCTAGGCAGTGTGAACTGGGCGGGCTGGTGGGCCCATCGGGCTATACTCTCTAAAACTTTACTGATTTAACATGAAAACGTTTTGATACATTACCTGGCAGTGTGAACTGGGCGGGCTAACAGTGTAGCGGGCTAGCGAGTGTTTGAACTGGGCGGACTGGCGGGATGGTCAGCGGGCTTTAAACCC